ATACCTTAACTCCTGTAAGATAGTAAGTTAATAAATAACAGTTGAATAAATTCTCTTTTGGTGCTACCTTATTCCTGGAGCTCACTAGTCTTCCTTCATTTATAGAACTTATTCACCTTTTCTAAAAATGACTCCTGAACCCTCCTCTGCATATCTTGTTTGTGCCAGTGCCCCATTTCTACTCCCACTCTCCCAGTACACTAGCCACATGTACACACAGCATCATGACTATGTATCTAATTTTCTCCATAACCTTCTATTTTCTGACCTTTACCTTGGATTCCACACGACTTTGTAGTCATGTGAACCTGGTGATTGCTAAGGGATTCCTGGATCTCACTTCAAAGATTCCATTGATATGAGGATCTGAGTTTTGCGAGCAATAATACTTCTCGTGATCTGTCATTGCATTGTATTATATGTATATTCATAGGAGAGTTAAAATACCCTTGTGTTTTGAGTTTGAACTGTTACAGGTAGCTGCAGATGTTTTCTGAACACCCACAGAATAATTTCAGTTTGCATACTAGTAAATTAAATCACATTATTTGAGAAGTGGTCAAGCAAAGGCTAAATTCAGTGCTGTGATAAACTCTAGACAGTGGTTTCTAAGACTTCTGTATTTTCACTGGAAAAAAATGTGAAAAAATGGAGGACATTGAAATGACATCACTAAGAAAACAACTACTATCTGCTATCACTATTACTTAATAAGAGACATTTTAACATCAGAAAAGAACCAAAGGTATGATTCATTGTAAGGCTCTGCCCTTTAAATTGAATAAATTAAGCTTAATTATGGACTTGCATATTTTTCTCATTTTGCCATGTATGCTGGAACTTTTGTCATGAATCACCACTGGTTTATGGTCCAGCCTTTGAGAACAACTGTCCAGACTGAGCTGAACCAGGCAGAATGCTATTTAGGTTAACATGATGCCCCGAGTTATAAAGGACTGACAATATATTGACACTTGATCTGTGATACATTATATTCTCCAAGTTGGCCACATCTCCTACCCCACATGTTCTTCTTACAATGTGATCATGACCTTCCTCACAGAGAGAGGAGGGTCTCTGTTTTCTCCTCTTGAATCTGGGCAGGCCTGTGATTATAGTGGAAGTAATACTATGTGATTTCCATAGATCATAAAAAGGGATTCAGTCTCTAGCTAGTTCTTTTGAGATGCCCAGTCTTGGGAACCAGTCTGTATGGAAGGACCCATGTGGACAGAAACTGAGGCCCCAACCTGAAGCCCTGTCTGAGCTCCAGCTAGCAGTCCCCGCCAACCTGCCAGCCATAGGAGTGAGACATCTTGGAAGTGGATCCTCCAATCAAGCCACCACAGCCAGTGCTATATGGAGCAAAGAGAAGCCTTCTCTGTTGAGTCCTGTCAAAATTGTAGATTTCAGCTAAATAAATGATTGTTGTTGTTTTAACCTACAAAGCTTTGTGTCTGTTTGTTATGCTGCAATATATAACATACCAATTTTGGACTCTGGAGTGAGAAATGGATGTAACAAACCGTAAAATATGTGGTATTGCCTTTTGGGATTGGATGACAGACAGAAGCCCAAAGGGTCTAGAAGAGAGTGTCAGTGAAAGCCTGCAGAATGTTTAAAGGCCTCTCGGAGGTGATTAGTGGGAGTTATAAGAAAAGAATGCCATAGTAGAAGCTGGAGAAAAGGGGCCCTTGTTAGGTGATGGTGGTAAATTCAATCACACTGTTGTCTAAGTAATGAACTTAATGATCATGCTAAGGATTTTCCTAGATAGCTGTCAAGTGCCACTTGGCTTCTTCTACGGCAATATGAGAAGAGAGATGAGCTGAAAAGAACAGTTCAGTTTTCAAATGAAATTTAAAAGAAATATAATGCAGCCAGTACTCACTGGGTTTAAAAATAATATTGTTTCTCATGCCTAGCCTTTCTAGATGGCAAAAAGTTCTCAAACTAGGAAATGGATTCTGAGAAAAGACAAGAATCTCAGGTGGGATTGTGAGGTCATAAGACCTTAGAGATATCTAAGGTGGTGCCTCCTGGAACTTCTGAGCCTTGAGATAGGCATTCTCAGTGCATCTAGGAAGATGACCTCTATCTGCTGGAGGCAATCATTGTCATAGCTAAACCAAAATGCAAAGAGAATAGCTCTCTGTCAATAATGGTATATATCAAGCTTAGAAACCATCTGATTGGTCCTATCTGAGTCCTGTGCCCATTTCTGAACCATTATATGGGGGATGAGAAAATATGACTAACCAGCCTTGTCTCACCCAGATAATATAGTCTATTTTCAGAATATGCAGTTGGGGGAAACATACTGGGCAGCCTCTCAGCCCTCAGCTCCTAAAGCTATCATAGTCTACTCAGCTGGCTCTACCAAAACTGGTGAAATATGATTTATTATTGCTTTTCTTTGAGTTATATGGGAAAGATTATGAATTAAAGAAATTTGATCATCTCTATATTTTAGTTATATTCATCTCTGGCAGAACTATGTAATCTAGAGCCAACTATGAATTTTGTCCAATTTTTCTCAAGGTATGAAGATTTTTCTAAAAGCCATGGAGAATCTGAATTTTGAAATGTAAAGCTTCATGAGACTTTCCTGTAGGGTCTAGGTGACCCAAGTGAATCTGAGGGAACACTAGGATAGAAACTAGATAGAAGGTGAAAGGACATTACTCAAAATGATATGAAAGCAGTTGAGAGAATTCAAGGTGACCAGAGGTTCAGATAACATAAAGATGAAATGGGAGAAAGAGTAGTGAACTTGGTAACTAGGAGAGTTAAGGGCAGGCATGGGAAAGAGTAAGGAATGGGTATCTCAAGAGACAGCCTGTGAATAAGATGGCTTTATTGGCTGAATGGTTTAAAAGAACCATACCAGACAACAAAATGCTGAAGGAAAAATTTTGGAGAATGGTATATGGGTACCAAAGGTGGTTGCTTCAATCAGGGCCAGACATAAAGCTGTTGACTAAAACTCTTCAGTTGAAAGTAGGAATTGGGACTTTGAATTGAAACGTTCTTTGATATATAGTAATGGAGAAGATTGATTATAGAGTTTGTAATCTCACTGCTGTGGTACTATTCTTGGTGCCCTGGGGAAGAGTATTATACTAGTATGACATAAGAATGAGTAGAATTTCATTGTCACAAAATAATCTCCTTGGAAGGAAACTATAAATTGATTAGCTGTTCATTTGTTTAAATTTGTACTGTGTTTTTAGTGATTAGATTTGAGGCAAAAATATATTAATTTTGACATCACAGAATTTGGGATACGTTTGTCCTCCTGTGAAGAGTGAGAAATGTTGTTTCTTCAAATTAAGGGCTAAAAGTGAGAAATACCCATCAAAAAGGAGAGATAGGTAGAAAAAGAGAAAATGGGAAAGGAGGAATGAAAAAGTCAGATGGGAGAGCAGGTAGTGTTGAAGAGGATTAGGGCCGGAGAATGAAAAACAGAATATATATTTAAAAACATGTAAGAGGATCTTCTGTCTACATGGTGAATGACCATTTCAGCTATTATGTCAGGCAAAGAAAGTCAGTTAAAACAGTTGTGAGTATAGACACAGCTCCAGCATTAGGAAATGCAAGCTTCCCTGGAACTGGATCACTTAGCTGCTTCTGGGTTGGGGGTGGGGATGTTATATGTAGCCAATCAGAGTGAAAGTAAGTTGGCAAGCAACCAATGGGACTTAGGCATGGAAATGACTTTGGGCGTGATATCAGTTGGCAGTATTGTCCCTGGCAAACAGCCAGCAGAGCTGAGCATTTTTCTTTGTGATTTTCAAGAGCCTTCATCTTGATTTCAACTCTGAACCAGCTTGGCCTTGGAAGACGGTAACTCTGGTCTTGGTAGTTTGGAGAATGTGATTTGAGCGTGATGCTGTAATGACAGGTGGGGATGGCAGGAGGTGAGGATGCCAAGGACGTGAAGGGCAATTTGAGGGACAGGTGAAGTGATTTGAAGATGTAGCATTTTGAATCTCATTTCTGGCCCATTTCTTCTTCACACCAGGATCATTGTGGCTTGTAGACCAAATAAGTACAAAAGAACCAAAATAAGTACAAAGAACCAAAAAATAAGTACAAAGAACCAAAGATTATTGGGGATACTTCAGGAACCTCTAGGAATTTTTAGGTTAAGGTTAACTGCAGGGAAACATAAAACCGAATGAGTCCGTCTCAGGACCACCACGAGATTTTTGCAGGCTATGTTCTGCACAAGGGCGCCAGCTGAGGGTAGGTACTTGGACTGAAATCAAACCTATTATTTATATGCCAAGCCACGTGCCCTGTCATCGGGAAGGGGAACTTTTTCTAATTCACTTAAAGGCATTGTATGATAAAACCACAATTTTAGCCTTTTCCTTTGTTTTTAGGTTATTCATCCCACTTCTCCATCCCAATCTTATCTGGTGTGACTCAACTTTGACCTCATTTCCCATTTGGGGTTTGGAGGAGCCCAAGAGAGGGGAAAAGGGACATGGGACTGAAGTAGTAAAGGGGAATTCCAGAATGACTTGTACATATAGAGGAAGAGGTACCGCTCCAAAAAAGTTTAGTTGATCGAATATTATGGAGAGTGTATTATGGGCCACATACTGTGTACACAGCCTTAAGGAAAAATAATATCCAATCCTGGGCCTTGAGAAACTCACTATTCAATGAGGAAGGCAAACACACCACTCATACAATGATTACATGCAGAAATCAGTGCTGTTGCTCCCCTAGTATATGTAGAAGTGTGGAGGAAGTGTTCTTGGTGTTCCTATAACATGATCTTGGAGCAAGAGGTAGAAGAGTAAGTATCAGTGTGTGCTTTGTGACAAGAAGAAAGGTGCTCAGATCCGAGGGTGGTACCATCTTAGGTAGAAAGAATGTGGATGCTGTGCTCATTTTCTTCTTTTTTTTTGCGTATCCTAACAGGTTAGTCTGTGGTGGTGAAAATAACTCCTATATAAATTCATCAAGTTAGGACTGAAAAAGCAATGCCAAACATAAACTCTTCCTTCTGGATGCAAAGAGAAGGTAACAGACCTGACTTACTCTGCGGGCGCTCAGCCACCTACACCGTTGTAAATGGGCATTTCCTGACACTTGTGTGCTCCATTGTTGTTTTGGGAGGTAAGTGCTTGTTTCTAAATTTCATCTTTCCTCTGCCCTCTGAACCTTTCTCAGGGCAGAAAGCCATCACAATGTCATCAAAAGAAGTCTGGTGGAACTGTAAGATGTGAGTGAACACTGGCAGGGTGGCTTCATTTAATTATCTGTAGTATCAATACTATGTTCCTTCCTTCAGGGGCATGTGCTGAGCATAGCAGAGTGGTAGGCAGAAGGGGAGTCAGACAATTCCTTAACCTCAAGGAGTCCTCTCACTGGCAAGATAGGAATTATGATGCAATGGGGTTGGTGTAACTGTCCAGTGGTGGCCTAGAAGGCCTCAGGCTGCCTCCTGCCAGGCCCAACCTAACCAACATGTATCTGGGATGAGGACAGGGCAATGGGGGCAAATAGGACCCAGACATTTGTTCCACAATTTGCACAGTTGTTGCAATTAGTTTTGTCCGTTTTATTATACCTTTTGGTGTGATTTTACTGCAGGGAACATCCCCCCACTCCAACCCCTAGTGGGGAATTAGGAGAGACTTCACAATTAAGGGACTCTTAAATGATCATTAAGAATTCAATAGGAGGGGCACCTGGGTGGCTCAGTGGGTTAAGCTGCTGCCTTCGGCTCAGGTCATGGTCTCAGAGTCCTTGGATCGAGTCCCGCATCAGGCTCTCTGCTCTGCAGGGGGCCTACCTCCCTCTCTCTCTCTCTCTCTCTCTCTCTGCCTGCCTCTTGGCCTACTTGTGATCTCTCTCTGTCAAATAAATAAATAAAATCTTAAAAAAAAAAAAAGAGAATTCAATAGGAGGGGCGCCTAGGTGGCTCAGTGGGTTAAGCCTCTGCCTTCAGCTCAGGGTCCTTTGATCCAGCCCCGCATCGGGCTCTCTGCTTAGCAGGGAGCCTGCTGCTCTGCCTACTTGTGATCTCTCTCTGTGTGTCAAATAAATAAAATATTAAAAAGAAGAATTCAGTAGGAATGGTGAATGATAGTCACACGGATGAAATACCAGACTGAAAAACACAGGTACTTTATTCCCCCAGTTCAATGCTAGTGATGAGGGAAAAGTTTCTAGTGCTCTTTAAAACATTTTTCTTTGGGGGAAAAAAGGTCAGCTGCTTTAAAATCCTTTCTGGAATTGGGAAGACTATAAAGAAATGATGAAGCAAATACTCGTCTTCCATTTTACTTGTCAGAGAGTAAAATCACGTCCTCTGGGGCGAGCCTTGAAAACACACTGATGACGTTGGTCCCCTGTGGTACTAGGAGGTGCTGGTGACCATGAATCTCACCAGCTCTAGATCCTTAATGATTACATAGAGATAAGTGCTCAGCAGTAAGGGGCATTGCAGAAATAGTTGGAGAAACATTTCTTCAGCCCTACACAAAAGAAGTATTCAATAAATATGCACTGATTCAGCTGGAAGACAGGAAATGCAGAATCTGGAATGCCAATGAATCTTGCCCTAGGCATAAAGTGATTGGATTATAGTCCATACATTGCTTCTGGAGAGAATGAGCTGAATAATATTGAACAGAGGAGAGAGTGGCAAGGTAAGAAAATGCACGTAGACAATAACACAGGTCTCCTGTGACTTGTCTGGTGAAGGCAGTTTTCTCTCTAGTTAGAGCTCAGTTGAAAGTATTTCTGGCTTTTAGGAAAACTATAGAATATATGTTGCTGCAGTTTAGGATAAGTAATTACTAATAAAAGGTATACCAGGTAGATACGACGTTTGACTTTTTGTAATCTCTTGTCATCAGATCCATAGATCCTCTTGTACAGTGATCCTGTCAGTGGGCAAATGGGAGATTGTTGGAACTTCAATATTTTCCAGATTCACCTATAAGAAAAGCTTCATTATGTGTTTCTTAAGAGACAGCATTTGTAAGAGCTGTCAATTGTTTTTTATATGATGTGACACTCAGGAAGTTTAAAATGAAATAGAGAAAGGGGATATTAAATGCTTTGAAACTATACATTATGTCTAAATAACACATACATGTATTTCTTCAGGATTTTTGAGGACCTATTTAAGGAGTTCTGAAGTCACCGTCTTAATAATTCTTTCAGTGTCAGGGTTTGTGATAGGACAACTGGCTCACAGTTCTGTTAAGGTATGTATGTACCTTATGTATGTATGTACAATAATAAGTTAGTAAAGAACAGAGACCAAAATCAAGGTCTACTCTCACCCCATTTGTGAATGTATGGAATTAAAAAAAAAAAAAAAAAAAGGGAACCGCTGGTATTCCCGGGTGGTTCAGTTGGTAAGTGTCTGACTCTTGATCTCGGGGTTGTGGGTTCGGACCCTGGGGTTGCGCTCCACACCCACCTTAAATAAAAAAATAAAAATTTAAAAAATGTGAACAGCTACTGAAAAAATTCATCTGGTATTATAAATTTTGAAAATGAAAAACCATACAATAAAAGACATATAAATTAGAGGTCCTTAAGATAAGACATTAGTATGGAAGTGAGTAAAATTGGAGTGCATCTTGGGTTCTGCTTTGGGAGCCTTGCTCTTGTTCTTTCCCATGTCCGTACACAGGCTTCATTGTGTGGAACACAATGCAGATAATGATGATGTAGAGACATTATCAAAGGCAGCTGTTATTGTCATAATGAAACATGGTTACTCTTTCCTAACTGCTAGATTCAATGCAAAACGTGTCATATAATATATAATATAGATAGATACAAGAAAAATTTTCTTAATTTACTAACTCTTGATTTCAAATGCATAACATGTGATCTGTAGCAACTTGTCTCCACTTTTCTTTTATTTTTTTTTTTTTCAATGGAGATGATGCTTGTATCTGTCTAGGATTTTTAAAAGCCTCCTGTTACTCTTCTGAAACACCCGCATTACTACTAACATCTTTTGAGTGTTTACTATATGCCCGGTTCTCTTTAAAGTGTTTTGTGTTTATTAGTTTATTAACTTATTATTTATTCTTCTTTCCAGTTAAAAATGGAGCTGTTTAATTTTAAAAATATGTTTTATTTGAGTATGGTTGACACATTATGTTACATTAGTTTTAGGTATCCAAAATAGTGATTCGACTTCTCTCTGTGTTATGCTATGCTCAACTTCTTACTAATTCTTGAGTTAATTCATTCACTTTCACTGAAACTCAGTGGAAGTAGGTATTCTATCCCATTTTACAGATGACAAAACTGAGGCACAGGGAGGTTAAGTAATGAAGAATAAAGTATTAGTTGAGCCCAAAACTTTTAAATGTACAACCTTCATGATTTATGTCTTATATACACAGTATGTGCTATTATCTATGTGTTATTTTTCTCTACTTGATTCTCTTAAGGACTTTATTGTTTTCTTTAAAGATTGATTTATTTATTTGAGAGAGAGAGAGCGCACCCGTGTGAGGGAGTGCAGGAGACAGGAGGGCAGTGGGAGAGAATCTTAAGCAGACTCCTGGCTGAGCAGGGATCCAACCTGGGGCTCAGTCCCACAACCCATGAGATCTCAACCTGAGCCAAAAACAAAAGTCAGATGCTCAACCAACTGAGCTGCCCAGGTGCCCCAGCTCACTGAAGGAGAAATGAAAAATCTTAAACAAATGTTTGTGAAATCATAAGTACCTGTGCAAGTTTCTCTTTTCTGTTTCTTACTGCAAATTAGAATAAATATCTAAGAGTCAAATAAAAAAAAAATACTTATCTGTGGATACCTAAAGTCATGTCAAGGATCACCAGTGGCAGGGGTATCACTTGTAAAAATGCTGATTACAGTACTTATCACAAACAATGTTTATGTAGCCCAAACTCACACAATTCTCTGGTGAATAGAGGACTGTACATGCAACTCTTCTGGACAGTCAGATCAAGAAATCTACAAAACCCTCAGGACTGGTCTTGTAGATAATTGCAGATAGTTGCAGATTAGAATATACTAAAACTTACAATGATTGATATCACATCAATTTCTAATACCTCAAATTACCTACCACTATTTTTTTTTATTTTTTATAAACATATAATATATTTTTATCCCCAGGGGTACAGTGAATCGCCAGGGTTACACACTTCACAGCGCTCACCATAGCACATACCCTCCCCAATGTCCATAACCCCACCCCCCTTCTCCCAACACCCCTCCCCCCAGCAAGCAACCCTCAGTTTGTTTTGTGAGATTAAGAGTCACATATGGTTTGTCTCCCTCCCAATCCCATCTTGTTTCATTTATTCTTCTCCTACCCCTTTAACCCCCCCATGTTGCATCTCCACTTCCTCATATCAGGGAGATCATATGATAGTTGTCTTTCTCCGATTGACTTATTTCGCTAAGCATGATACCCTCTAGTTCCATCCACGTCGTCGTAAATGGCAAGATTTCATTTCTTTTGATGGCTGCATAGTATTACATTGTGTATATATACCACATCTTCTTTATCCATTCATCTGTTGATGGACATCTAGGTTCTTTCCATAGTTTGGCTATTGTAGACATTGCTGCTATAAACATTCGGGTGCACGTGCCCCTTCGGATCACTACGTTTGTATCTTTAGGGTAAATACCCAGTAGTGCAATTGCTGGGTCATAGGGTAGTTCTATTTTCAACATTTTAAGGAACCTCCATGCTGTTTTCCAGAGTGACCTACCACTAATTTTTAATACCACCAAATGGCAGACAACTAATTTCTTGTTTGTCTTGTTACTTTAGGTGTACCAAATTGTCTACCCTCTTCTAAGAACACCAAGTTTTTCACTTTATTGTTATTTTGCACCTATAATTATATTTATGGCTGCTTTGGATGTGGACTTTTATATCCTCAAGAATGTATTTTGGCAGGTAAGAACACAATTAAAAAAATTATGGTCAATCTTGCTTTATTTATTTATTTGACACAGAGAGAGAGAGATTACAAGTAGGGAGAGAGGCGGGCAGAGAGAGAGGGGGAAGCGGACTCCCTGCCCAGCAGAGACCCTGAGATCATGACCTGAGCCAAAGATAGAGGCTTAACCCACTGAGCCACCCAGGCGCCCCAATCTTGCTTATTTATGTTAGCAGAAAATATGTTTGTCTATAAAGAAGATTAATCATTTGCAAATCTCACAGTTTAATTGTTCTATCCTCCTTATTGCATGAAACCACTAATTAAAAGGGAGTGAGGGGGAGGGAGAAGGAATAAATATTTGCTGAGTGACCACTGTGATGAGGCACTGAACAAGTATCTCTATTTTGTATGTAAACAAATTGCAGTTCAGAGGTCACAAACAAGGCTGATAAATGGCAGGGCCTAGATTCTGATCTCCTATCTGACTTCATCTCAAATATATCTCAAGATTTACCTGTTGTCACTGCTGACATTGTTTTACTTGTGGCTTCTCTTTTTCTTAATCATGGCTTGTCAGATGATTTTACTTTTTCTTTCAAAGAACACATTTTATTTTCTTTAGTTTTATTCTGTACTTTTTCTAACACCTTGAGTTAGAGGCTAGTTGATTGATTTTTAGTTTTCTTATTTTTTGTATTTTGTACACTTAAGGTTTTAAATTTTGCTGTAACTACTCTTTTAGCTTCACCATGTTTTGATTTTTAGTGTTTTTTGTTTTTGTTTTGTTTAGAGAGAGAGAGGGGGAGTGCACACACACCTGTGGGTCTACACACATGACACTGGGGGAGGGGCAGCGGGAGAACCATAAGCAGGCTCCACGCCCAGTGCAGAGCAGCAAGGGGCTCTGTCTCCCAATCCTAAGATCATGACCTGAGCAGAAATCAAGTCGGATGCTTAACCAACCGAGCCATCCAGGTCCCCCATGATTTTTAATGCTCTCATTATCATCCCGAACCTACCTAAAACTTTTACTATACTTTTTCTTTGGACCACTAATTATTTTTTTCCCTATGTGTGGAAGAATTTTGTTTGTTTTATTTATTTATTCTTGAAGTATAGTTGACATACAATATTATAACAACTTCAGGTGTATATCCTAGTGGTTTGATAATTATATACATATGAAAAGCTTAGTTTACCATTTGTCATCATACAAAGATTTACAATATTAATGGCCATATTTCCCATGCTGTACTTTTATCCCCGTGACTTATTTTATAACTGAAAGTTTGTACGTCTTAGGCCCCTTCTACTATTTTGCCCATCCCCCACCCCTTTCCCTTCTGGCAAACTTTAGTTTGTTCTCTGTATTTATGAGTCTATTTCTGGCTTTTGTTTATTTATTTGTTTGTTTGTTTGTTTTAGATTCCACCATGAATGAAATCATACAGTATTTGTCTTTTTCTTCCTGACTTATTTCACTTAGCACAATACCCTCTAGGTTCATCCATGTTGTCGCAAGTGGCAAAATTTCATTTTTTTTATGGCCGAGTCATAGCCCTTTATACGTGCCAGGGGTGCCTGGGTGGCTCAGTGGGTTAAAGCCTCTGCCTTCGGCTCAGGTCATGATCCCGGGGTCCTGGGATCAAGCCTCACATCAGGCTCTCTGCTCAGCAGGGAGCCTGCTTCCTCCTCTCTCTCTCTCTCTCTGCCTGCCTCTCTGCCGACTTGTGATCTCTGTCTGTCAAATAAATAAATAAAATCTTAAAAATAAATAAATAAATAAATAAATAAATATTTGTGCCATATCTTTATCCATTCATCTATCGATAGACACTTAGGTTGCTTTCATATCTTGGCTATTGTAAATAATGCTGCTATAAATAGGGATGCATATATCTTTTTGAATTAGTGTTTTGTTTTCTTTGGACAAAAATACCTAGAAGTGTTGAAAATAGAACTACCCTATGACCCAGCAATTGCACTACTGGGTATTTACCCTAAAGATACAAACGTAGTGATCCGAAGGGGCACGTGCACCCGAATGTTTATAGCAGCAATGTCTACAATAGCCAAACTATGGAAAGAACCTAGATGTCCATCAACAGATGAATGGATAAAGAAGATGTGGTATATATACACAATGTAATACTATGCAGCCATCAAAAGAAATGAAATCTTGCCATTTACGACGACGTGGATGGAACTAGAGGGTATCATGCTTAGCGAAATAAGTCAATCAGAGAAAGACAACTATCATGATCTCCCTGATATGAAGAAGTGGAGATGTAACATGGGGGGGTTAAAGGGGTAGGAGAAGAATAAATGAAACAAGATGGGATTGGGAGGGAGACAAACCATATGTGACTCTTAATCTCACAAAACAAACTGAGGGTTGCTGGGGGGAGGGGGGTTAGGGGAGGGGGATAGGGTTATGGACATTGGGGAGGGTATGTGCTATGGTGAGTGCTGTGAAGTGTGTAAACCTGGTGATTCACAGACCTGTACCCCTGGGGATAAAAATACATTATATGTTTATTTTTAAAAATAAATTAATTAATTAATTTAAAAAAATATCTAGAAGTGAGATTACAGGATCTTATGATACTTCTAGTTTTAGTTTTTTGAGGAGTCTTTATATTGTTAGCTTAATAAAAAATAGAAATTAAATAAATAAAGGGAAGAAAGAATGAGAAGCAAAGGTAAATGCAAAGTGCAAAATTATATTGAGAAACAAGTCCAAATCTATTTCTTTTTATTTTTTATTTTTTTAGATTTTATTTATTTATTTGATAGAGAGCACAAACAGGGAGAGTTGCAGACAGAGAGGGAGAGGCAGGCTCCCCACTGAGCAGGGAGCACAATGCAGGACTCAATCCCAAGACCCTGGGATCATGACCTGAGCCAAAGGCAGATGCTTAACCAACTTGGCAACCCAGGCAGTCCTATTTCTTTTGCTTTTTTAAAACTAATTTTTAATTTATGTTTTGAGGTAGCCACTGCTTGCCTATCTGATATGCATTCTCTCTTTCTCATAATAGAAACTTACTAGATTTTGCTTGGTGTGGTAGTGGGCCCAGTGTGAATTATTCTATTTCCCAGCAAGTGGTAGCTGGGTAGCCTCAGAAAGAGAGTGTGACTAGTGAAATATATACAAAAGTCTGTTGAGTAAGGCTTCCAGAAAGCACTTAATAAGGGGCCAAATGAGCCAGAATGTGCTTTTTGCCCTTTGTTTTACCTCTCTTTCTGCCTAGAGCCCTGTAAATCAACACTGAGGAAACCAGGCAACATTTCACACAGAAGCAGGAAAAAATGGCATTCCATTTTAAGGACATTTTGATGTTGGGAACTATTAAGTTGGACTAACAAAGAGGAAGATTAGTGAATTGCTCTTGTAACAATAAGATAGAATTTCTTTTGTTTGGAAAGGATGGTTTCTTTGAGGCGGGTAACCTAGAATACCTTTTAAAGTTATTTTTCAGAGTAGTCATATAAAATATATAACTAAGATCTGATTCTTCCCTAAGTAAATGCACCCATGCCATCTTTAAATGTTGAATCTAACTCTGTGTTATGAATTGGTTTCACAGGTCTTGTTAACAGGATTAATTAGCTTTGTTGTGTCATTCATCATAATTGGATACGTGGTTCTGAAATTCAATAGAGATTTATGGGATTTGCAGACTTCCCTACTCTTTAGCATGACCCTTGGCATGACAGACCCTATTCATTCTGTGAATTCACTGAAAACTATTGGTATGTCAGATTTATTTCTCTCTCTTACCTTGGAGATATAGAGATAAGTTTTTTTTTTTTAATCTTGGTTTTTCTTCTTTTTTTTGCATGAATTATACATGCAGCAGGGTAGATATTTATGCTATTTTTCTTGGAGATGGGACATTGATGGACTTGAAAGATGCCATGCAAATAAGCAACCCAAAATCTGGGATAAATAGCACCAATTATAATCTCAAAGAATTTTTTCAAGAAGAAAAGTAACTTTTCTAGAAGGTGATAAAAATTAGCATTCTTATTCCATTCCACTGAATTCTAAGTCTCAAGGTAGAAACTTTGCCCTATCTTCAGTGAAAGTTTTCCAAGGCCTTGCTACCTTTTGTTAGAACTGCCTCCCTTTCAATGTGCACTCCACTATTACTATTTAACATAGTACTGGGAGCCTTAGCCTTAGCAATCAGACAACAAAAAGAAATAAAAGTTATCCAAATGGACAAGGAAGAAGTCAGACTTTCACTCTTTCCAGATGACATGAAACTCTATGTAGAAAACCCAAAGTCTCCACCAAAAAGTTGCTAGAACTAATACATGAATTCAGTGAAGTTGCAGGATATAAAACCAATGTGCAGAAATCTGTTGTATTTCTATATACCAATAAGGAAGCAGCAGAAAAAGAAATCAAGGAATTAATCCCATTTGCAATTGCACCAAAACAGTAAGATAACTAGGAATAAACCTAACCAAAGAAGTAAAAGATCTGTACTCTGAAAACTATAAAACACTTAAGAAAGTAATTGAAGAGGACACTAAGAAATGGAAAAGCATTCCATGCTCATGGACTGGAAGAACAAACGTTGTTAAACTGTCTATACTTCCCAAAGCAAGCTACACATTTAATGCAATCCCGATCAAAATAACACCAGCATTTTTCACAGAGCTAGAATAAAGAATCTAAAATTTGTATGGAACCACAAAAGATCCTGAATAGCATCCTGAAAAAGAAAAACAAAACCGGAGGCATCACAATTCCAGATTTCAAGCTCTATTATAAAGCTATAACCATTAAGACAGTATGGTACCAGCATAAAAACAGACACATAAATCAATGGAACAGAATAGAGAGCCCAGAAATGGACCCACGACTATGTGGTCAACTAATCCTCAACTAAGTAGGAAAGAATATACAATGGATAAAAGACAGTCTCTTCAACAAATGGTGTTGGGAAAAACTGGACAGCAACAAGCAAAAGAGCAAAACTGGACCACTTTCTTATACCATATACAAAAATAACTTCAAAATAGATGAAAGATTTAAATGTGAGACAAGAAATCTTCAAGATTCTAGAAGAAAACACAGGCAGAAACCTCTTTGAGTTTGGCTGTAGCAACGTCTTCCTAGACACATCACCAGAGACAAGGGAAACAAAAGCAAAAATGAACTAATGGGACCTCATCAAGATAAAAAGTTTCTGCACAGTGAAGGAAACAACCAACAAAAGGCAACCTATAGAATGGGGAAAGATATTTGCAAATGATTTATCTGATAAGGGTTAGTATCCAAAGTCTATTAAGAACTCAATAGCCAAAACCCAAAAAATCCAGTCAAGAAATAGGCAGAAGACATGAACAGACATCTTTCTTTCTTTCTTTCTTTCTTTCTTTCTTTCTTTCTTTCTTTGACAGACAGAGATCACAAGTAGGCAGAGAGGCAGGCAGAGAGAGAGACAGGGAAGCAGGCTCCCCGCCAAGCAGAGAGCCCAAAGCGGGGCTCGATCCTAGGACCCTGAGATCATAACCTGAGTGGAAGGCAGAGACTTTAACCCACTGAGACACCCAGGCGCCCCTGAACAGACATTTTTCCAAGGGAGACATCCAGATGGTTAACAGGCACATGAAAAGATGCTCCATATCACTCATCATCAGGGAAATAAAAATCAAAACCACAGTGAGATACCACCTCGCACCTGTCAGAATATCTAAAATTAACAACACAAGAAACAACAGGTGTTGAAGAGGATGTGGAGAAAGGGGAACACCCTTACACCGTTAGTGGGAATGCAAACTGGCACTCTGGAACAGTATGGAGGTTCCTCAAAAGGCTGGAAAGAGAACTACCCTAGATGCAGCAATTGCACTGCTAAATATTTATCCAAAGGCTATAAAAATGCTAATTCAAAAGTATACATGCGCCGTGATGTTTATAGCAGTATCATCAACAATAGCCAAATTATTGAGGGAGCCCAGATGTCCACTGACTGATGAATGGATAAAGAAAATGTAGTATATATACACAACGGAATATCATTCAGCCACCAAAAAGAATGAAATTTTGCCATTTGTGACAATGTGATGGAACGAGAGTGTATTATGCTAAGTGAAATAAGTCAGTCAGAGAAAGACAAATACAGTATGATCCAACTCATATGTGGAATTTCAGAAAGGAAACAAATGAATACATGGGAATGGGGGGAAGGGAGAGAGGGAAATAAACATAAGAGACGCTTAACAATACAGAACAAACTGAGGGGTGATGGAGGGAGTTAGATGGGAGGTTGGGATAGATGGGTAAAGGGTACAAAGGAGGGCACTTGTGATGAGCACTGAGTGGCATGTAAGTGATGAACCACTGAATTCTACTCCAGAAACCAATATTGCACTGTAATTTAACAAGTAAAATTTAAAGATTTAAAACCACACAAAAAATTTAAAAAATATATACACCAGAAGAAGGAGATGGAAAGGAAGAGGAAGAGGAAAGAAGAAGAAAAAACGAACAAAATAAAGAGAAGGAAGAACAGTTTCCTTTTGAACTAGCTAACTTTAAAGCAGGTAGTGGAAGCGGGTGTAGTTTATTTAAAAGAAATGTGTAGGAACATAGTTGAGCAAAAACATGTTCAATAATAGCTTATTCCCAAAAGGGTTTCAAGTCCTGCAGTACTTCCCTCTTATTTGGTAAAAGATTATTTTACTCTGAAAATATTTTACTCTGTTATCATGTTTTATTAACACAGCAGTAAAAACATGAAATGATTAGATGCTATGGTTTCTGTTTTTGACTTGAAAATATTTTCCTAACCAATTTTAAGGTATTTATATTGAGTGGAAATATATTGCCTTATGACTGGAATGGGAAACCTCCAACCTTGCCCACAAGTGGGCTTCCCAATTTTATACCCATTTATATGTGCAGTTGGGAAAACATAAGTTTTAAGACACTTTTGGTAGTGATATCCTAAATTGTTATACTTCTCAAAGAGTCTCTCATCCTGTCTCTCTCTTTTTTCTCTCACTCTTTTTTCTTTCTCTCTCTCTTTTTTTAAGTACAATTTCCCCCTATTTTTCCTTCATCTGCCTTTCTCATTTAGCCACTTGTATCTGCCAGCTGTTTTATTCATCTCATTTTTTTCCTGCTCCTTTTTCTGAAATCTCATGACTGTAAGTGACTATGAACATTATTTATCGCAGTTTCTATATTCAATTTTTCAAAAATGAAGTATAATAGAAAGTTTTCTATTTCTTTAAAAGAAAACTAGTGAAGTTATTTAGCTCTTAGTTGATATTTCTTTATGTCAGTAATGCTCAAGGTGGTATGTGGATTCTGGATCCAATAACATTTTTTCCTTATAAAACAAATTTTGGCTCATTTTTAGGGGGGATATCATTCTTCTTTATGGCATTCACAGAGTCATCATTTAGGCTCTATCTGTGAATTAGATAAATAGTCCTTTCTTCAAAAACAGTTCATTTCTAACTGTCATAATACATTAATTTTTCTAAGGAAAGATAGTTTTGCCACATGCCTAAAATTATCATAATACACAAAACTATAGTTCCTATAAGCGCTTGAATAGTGCTTCTTTTGATGTGGTGCCCTTGTGCCGTGTAAACTCTGCAGTTTCAATGGCCTGAGCCACTGCAAAAAGTAGTGGGTGTTCACATGCAAGAGAAAAGGAACTTGTCGGGGCGCCTGGGTTGCTCAGTCATTGGGCGTGGGATCTGCCTTTGGCTTAGGTCATGATCCCAGGGTCTTGGGATAGTGTCCTGCATCGGGTTCCTTGCTCAGCGGGAAGCCTGCTTCTCCCTCACCCACTTCCCCTGCTTGTGTTCCCTCTCTCACTCTCTCTCTCTCTGTCAAATAAATAAATTAAATCTTAAAAAGAAAAGAAAAGGAACTTGTCTATTTATTACCTGTTTGAAAAGAATGTACTAGGTTGAAATTTTTGCTTTAAAACAAATCTGGAATACGTCCTTATAAAGGAGTAATATGTTAAGGTTTAGTATGATCTCAACTGAGGGAAAAGTTTATAAGCTTAGAAAAAGACCTCAACATTAAGGTTGTATCTGAGTTGTGAAATTATACGTGGTTTTTGTTTTATTCTTTCCTTATCCAAATTTCACAATGAACTAGAGAACATAAGTTAGTTCCACATTAAGCCAATAAAGAATGGGGAAGTAATTCTTGTGGTATTTTGCTATTAAACACTGTAAGTCGAGGTCAAAGCTTCATACTGGAGCATGTGTGTGGCTCAACCAATTAAGTGTCTGTCTTTTGCTCAGGTCATGATCCCAGGGTTCTGGGATCCAGCCTCAGATCAGGGCTAAGCAGGGAGCCTTCTTTCTCACCCTCTTCCTGCTCGTGCTCTCTCTCTCTCTCAAATAAATACAATCTTAAAAAAAAAATCTTCATACTTCAGACCTCATATTTTACCTATTCCTGGTTGACTCACTGAATTTGATGAAGGATGAAAGGATTTCTTGACCAACTAAACCAAATGTGCTAATAGTTTCTACACCTCTTTAACCAGTATTTTTGTGCCTTCTGTCACAGTGAAAGCTAGCAACAGGTGGTAAACTGAAGATTGGTTAGCAGCCCTCCTGGGAGTTTCCTGGGTGTGATTTGAAACTGACTCGCATACATGGAGGGCAGGGAGAGACTAAAGCAAGAGGCAGGTCACTGCAGGTTAGTAGTTGACAGGTTTTGTAAGCAAAAGAAACTTACCTACAAGGCTTAGCTTGGGCTAAGATGAAACATCCCTGCACCTGTCCACCAAATCTGGAAAGTTTATCTAGAGAATTTCCCTGGGTCCGGTCATGTACACGGTGCAGTTGTTCTGAACACCACATCACTATCTCAAGGCTCTGTCCTTGGAGCAACCTCTGGGAGCAGGAAAGGCAAGTGGAACTCACATTCCAGGGACAGGGGAGGGGCTGAAGGGCCTTCAGTCATGCAGGACCAAGTCACGGGTCAACTGCCAGTCATATCTTCTTGGTGGTATCAAAGAAGCAGGAAAATATAACCCATAAAGCATACAAAAAGAGTAAGTAGAGGGAGTAGTGAGGCAGATGGTAGAATTAGTAGACAAAAACCTTAAAGCAGTTATTGTAACTGTATTCTATATGTTCAAAAAATTAGAGGAAAGATTAAGGCTGGGGTAGAACTTACTCCTATCAGCAGTAGAAACTACCCAAAATGAAGCACATGGAGAGAAAGACTAAGAGAAGCGAATAGAACATCCGTGAGCCACTGTGGGACAACTTCATGTGGCTTAATATCCAAGTCCCCCAAAGAGAGGAGACAGGAAGAAAGGAAAAATATTTGAAGAAATAATGAATGAAAATTTTCTAAACTTGATGAAGATTTTATAGCCACAGAGTTCAAGAAGCTCAACATACCACAAGCCCAAGAAACAAAAAACTACATCATGACATGTAAAAATCAAGTTCCTAGAAAGCAATGATAAAGAGAATATCTTAAAGGCAGCCAGAGGGGGGGAAAGAGACACACTATATGCAGAGGGACAAAAATAATAATGACTTCTTTTCAGAAACAATGCAAACAAAAAGATGGTGGAGCGACATTGTTAAAGTACCAAAAGAAAAGCTTGGAATTCTCAATGAGAATATCTTTCAAAAGCAAAGGTGAAATAAACCTTTCTTAAACATATTGAAGTTGAAAGAATTTATCACCAGCAGCCCTGTGCTATTAAAAAAAAAAATGTTAAAGGAAGTTAGGCAGAGAGAAACTGGCATCAAATGGAAATTTGGATCTACACAAAGCAATAGGAAGCACTGTAATTGGCAAACATATGGGGAAATATGACTTTTTTCTTATTTTAAATCGCTTTAAAAGATGACATTTAAAGCAAAATGTGGGGTAGATTTATCTGCTCCCCCATTCTTTGCATATGGTTTCCACTCTCAGGATCACAAGTTGGTGATTAAAATTCCGGCCATTGCATTCCACATTTCAGGTAAGAAGAGGAAGAAGAACAAGGGACAAAAAGATGCTCCTTTCAACCAAGTCACCTCTCCCCCAAGAAATTTTCTTGAAGTACCAGTTGATGACTTCCCCTTATTTTTATCTCAGTGGGCACTCTTAGAAGCCTAGGCTATGAGGAAAAGTGGTCATTTAACGGGACACATTGTCACCCTGGATAAAACCAGTATTTTTACCAACATCAGAAGAGGGATACCAGTTGAACAAGTACCAGTCACTCTCATCCTCTATCTGTATATCACAGAGCAATTAATTTTATTATATTTACCATTACACTAAGCTGTTTGTGAATGCTAAGTACCAGTAAGATTTTGTATTTAATTTTTATTAACAGCTTTATTGCAATATAATCTGCATACCATAAAATTCATCCTTTTAAACTACAAGGGCGTGTGGCTAGCTCAGTCAGTAGGGCCCGTGATTCTTGATCCTCAGAGTCATGAGTTCAAGCCCCATTATCGGGTGTGGAGCCTACTTAAAAAGAAAAAATTTTAAAAGTATTTAAAATTAAAATCTAAAAATTTAAAATTAAAATGAAATCACAGACCACTGTAGATTTCAGTGGTCTATATTTGCAGAGTTATAAAACCATCATCACTATCTAATTTTAGAACATTTTTATCACCCCAAAAGAAATCTCCTACCCATTAGCAGTCACTTCTCATTCTTCCATTTGCCCAAACCCTTAGCAACCCTGAGTCTGTTTTCTGTCTATGGATTTGCCTATTCTGGACATTTCATGCAAATCAAACCATATATCATGGTTTCCATGTCTGGCTTCTTTCACTCTGTATAATGCTTTCAAAGTTCATCCATGTTGTAACATGTATCTGTTAGTACTTCATTCTTTTCTGTGGATGAATAATTCAATCAATTATTATGAATAATGCTGCTATGAACATTCATGTACAAATTTTTGTGTGGACATGGGTTTTCAGTTCTCTTGGGCATATGTCTACAAGTAGAATTGCTGGGTCATCCTTTGTACTTCTTTCTTTTTTCCTTTTATTATTTGAGAGAGAGAGAGAGAGAAAGTGTGTGTGTGAGTGTATCAAGATTGGACACTCAACCAAAGGAGCCACCCAGGCACCCCTGTACTTATTTCTAAAATGTGATTTTTGTGGAGTCTATTCATGTTTATTCAAGCTAAATATTGTGTCCTGAGAAGTGCTCTGTCTCATTCCAAAACTCAAGCCTGGTTTGAGGCCGTGGACACTTCAAAGAATGCTCTTGTCCTGTTTGTTTATCATTGGAGAGATTAAAAATGGTGATTGTGGGGCACCTGGGTGGCTCAGTGGGTGAAGCCTCTGATTTCAGCTCAGATCATGAAACAATTTTCAGAAACAATGCAAACCAAAAGATGGTGGAGCGGGTCCTGGAATCAAGCCCCACATTGGGGCTCTCTGCTCTATGGGGAGTCTGCTTCCCCCCTTAACCCGCCTGCCTCTCTGCCTACTTGTGATCTCTCTCTCTGTCAAATAAATAAAATCTTTTTTTAAAAAAAAAGTGATTGTGATTGTCTCACAGACCCATCCCAGTCATGGCTTTTTTTGTTTTTTTGTCTGACATATTCCTTCTCTTCTATTTTTGTGTTTCTTGTGCAAGAGCATCATTTTCATGTACCAAATTAAATTATATTTTTTATTTCCCTTTCCAGGTATTTCCAAAATGTATACTGATGTCATAAGAGGAGAATCAATGATCATTTGTGGCTTCACATCCATTTGCTTTGGAGTATTTCGGAGCAACAGTCTCCACGTGGCTGTATTTACGGGTAGGAGCATCTTTTTTGTCTTATTTTCTAAAATCATTCTTGTATGATACATTTCAGTTCACCCTAAAATTAAAATATATTAAAGGGCCCCTGTCTGGTTTGACCAGAGGGCATGCGACTCTCTATCTCAGGGTCATGAGTTCGAGACCAATGTTGGGTATACAGATTACTTAAATAAATAAAAAAAAAAAATCTTAAAAAAATAAAAATAAAATAAAATACATTCAAGATGTCTTAACTTTACTGCTTTCTCTATGCTTTACTTTTGGACCAATTAAAATAGCATATCAGATAACAAGAAAATAATTACCATCTATGTGTTTTCTTGGACAGTAAGAGGGGGAAAGTATGTTAAAGAAATACATTTCATCTCTTTCCTTCATACCCGGACACACACAGGCACACACATCATCTGGCTCAGAGTAACTTCTTGCCTGGATCAATCCGGATCTCAGCGAGCGGATATTAAGAATTGACCTGATCCTGACTTTGAGCCTGGGGGCGAAGGCAGAATGTTTCTGGCAGCACTGCAGAGTCAGGTCCTAGACGCCATACTAGATTCTTGTAGTTGAAGTTCGCTGGGATATGGAGCACGCTGCTTTGCTAGGTTTCCAGATGTGGTTCTACTAGAAAAGAAAGCAGGCAGGGAAATCACAGCATGAAAAGGGAAAAGGTGAACTCCTGATCGGTGTGATAGTTTTAGGAGAGAGGTGCTAAAAGGAGGAAGAATATTGGTGATAAAAGGGCTTTGCAGGGCTTCTCAATGGGGAGCTACAGGCGTTTGGGGTGGGACAGTCTGTTATTTAGGACTACCCTTGGCATTGCCTGAAACCTGCGCACTCCTGCCACTGTTGCCCTCACTTATTGTGACTATGGAAAATTCCTCTTCTCCATTACCCAAATGCCCCTGGGCTGGGGGCAGGGGTCACAAATAGACAGCAGGTGGATGGGGACTCTGGACATGACTTGCTTGGCCCTAACACAGTTTGTAAAAAATATGAATTCGGATGTCCTTTGGTCAGACATTCACTCCCCAGTTTGTCACAGGCTTTTCACATTTATGCTCCCTGCCTGGCTTCTGACGACATTCGAGTCTGCTGTCCCCGGAGAAGCGAACCTCCAGCAGCCGACTGTAAGGGAAATACACCCCCAGAGTGTCTGCTTTGCCAGGCTTTCATGGGAAGCTCCCACTTGCTGAAGAACAAGGTCCCATTCAAAATCTCAAAAGCAAACCAAAGTGCATAGACCCAAATGCCATCAGTAAAAGAAATGAAAACTATAGTTCAACTTCTTTTTTTTTCTTATTTTCTTTTTCCAGAGTTACATATAATCTTGAGCCTCTGCTTGGACATCTTGGGAAGCATAATATGTGGATATTCGTGTGCAAGGATCATTGAGTTTATACTGACTGACCTCTTTAGCAACATACTTACCAGTGTCATTCTTTGCATTTCAATGGTGTACATGACTTTCTACATTGGTAAGGCAGAAGCAGATACAAAAACTGCTGTCCTTAAAGGGAATCTTATGTATCTTTGGTTTTTTTTTTTAAAGATTTTATTTATTTATTTGACAGACAGAGATCACAAGTAGGCAGACAGGCAGGCAGAGAGAGCGGTGGGAAGGCAGGCTCCTTGCTGAGCAGAGAGCCCAATGCGGGGCTCGATCCCAGGACCCTGGGATCATGACCTGAGCCGAAGGCAGAGGCTTTAACCCACTGAGCCACCCAGGTGCCCCGTATCTTTGGTTTTCATTGATCTTGAATCCAGTTGCCTCTTCTCCTTTGCTTCCTCCTTGTGATAGCCCCTCTGTGCATCTTGTCATATTATCCTTCTGCCACTTCTAGCTCTTTCCCGGTCTCTCCTAAGGTCCCCTTAATTCCAAGTCCACATCCCTTCCCTCTGTATTTCTTCTCCATGTAAATACTCTGTTACTCTTTTTGAGCTCCACCTTTTGACTTTACTTTTTTTTTTTCAAAGATTTTTATTTATTTATTTGACAGACAGAGATCACAAGGAGGCAGAGAGGCAGGTAGAGAGAGAGGGGAAAGCAGACTCCCCGCCGAGCAGAGAGCCCAACGCGGGACTTGATCCCAGGACCATGAGATCATGACCTGAGCTGAAGGCAGAGGCTTAACCCACTGAGCCACCCAGGCACCCCTTGACCTTTCATTTAATCATCAGCAGTCCCCTGCAAGAGGAATCAGCATTGAGCTGATTCCTGTTCTGACCCTTAGCAGCCCATTTCTAAAATGAGTTTGCTAGGAGAGATGCTCCTGACTTCTTTCCAGCCCAACCGTCTTTCAGTGGGTACCAGACTGAGGAGACTGTAGGAACGGCAGCCTTTACCAGCGGCTAGGAGGCAGGGAAAGAGAGGGAGAAATCAGGTATACCTGTGTCTGGAAGAGAAGCAGGGAGTGGAATAATCGCAGGAAGCAGAGAGCCTAGCACTGCTAGCCCGGCAATGATCATTTGTTGGTTTAGTCTAGTGAGATGGGCAGTTAAAGTTTTTACTGGCCTGAAGGAGGTAGCCAGTCCCCAAGAGCTGTAGTAACTACACCGAGACAGTCAGATCTTGCTTCTGCTCTCACGCCACACGGTAGAGCAAGTTCCATCTGGGAAAGACCTCAGATATCAAGAGCTTAATTACTCCTCCTGTCACCTCCCGTTACCTAAAATTGCTACTTCCTCTGTAGGTAAATGGCCACCCAGGAGCTGCTTACTGCCCCAAATCAGTAAAATTACAGAAAGCCTTCACTGAAGGGTCATTTCCTTCTTCTTTCTTTTTTCTTCTTCCCTCCCTTCCTCCCTCCCTCCCATTCTTCCTTCCTCCCTTCTTTCTCCCCGTGAACCTTTATGGATGTCTTAAATATCTGAAGAGAAAAATTTAAAAATTAATATTTCCATTTCTTCCACTAGATCATGAGTTCCTTGAGGCATGGAGGCTGTCTTTTATTCAACATTTTATTTATTCTCTTCTCTGTGTGTCCCCCTCCCAGACAGGCCCAGTGCTCCCCATATGCCTGAAAGTAATTTAACACATGTTGGTCGAATAAACTGATAAGAGTTCTTGAAGAGCTTTGGAGTTAGGCAGACTTGAATTCAAACCCCAACTTCACAGTTTATTCGCTTGTTGACCTTGGGATTTTACTCACCCTCTCTAAGCTTTAGCTAGTTTCCTCATCTATAAAAGTGGTATAGAGACACGTAATTTATAGGGTTATTGCTGGCACTAGCGAGATAATGTGTGTTAGGTAACTTGCTCATGCTGATGTGCTGGAGATAGAACTTACCTCCTTGCAGGAGCTGATGGCATGTATGTCCTCACAACTCTGTACAGGCAGCATCATTTGAAATTGGCCCTATTGGGAGCATTTACACCATGGAAATTGGCAGACATTACCCAGCAGGGATTGATTGATTTTTTTTTTTTAATTTTTAAAATTCATTTATTTTTTACCTCCAGAGAGCTGATTTTAACATTTACCAGCTCGCCACTGGACTCAAGTTAGGGCAGCCAACAAATGTTGGTTCCTTTCCACTTTCCTTCTAAAAGATGGAGGTGCTTCCAGTCAGTGGTTGGAAAGCCTGGAACAGATCCTTCCTTTTAGTCTCAGAGGGAATCACTGCTGAGCCTTGATGTTGGACCTCTAGCTTCCAGAACTCTGAGACAATATAATTTATGGTGTTTAAGATAGTTTGTGGTACTTTGTTCCAGCAGCCCCAGAAACGGATAGTCCTCTCTCCTCCGTTGCATTTTCCTCTGCTTCAGGAATTAAAGAAACACTTTGGGCAGTCCTTTACTCTTATATTTAATAAGTTCCTGGCAGCAGAAGTCAGTAATAGACATGTTATCAGGAGAATTTCCATTGCCAGAAATTCCATTGTCAAACATAGATAAAATTGAAATTCACAATTCTCTAATGTTACATTTCTGTTATGTTGCCTAATTCTGTTTTCTTCCCTCACTAGGGAATACTCAGCCAACTGGCTTAAGTCCAGAGAACATCTGATTAAAGTTAGAGTATCACCTCTTTGAGCACATGCAGTAATTTCTTTTTTTGTCTTAATTGTGTTCAAGTCATGAAATCTGGACCTCAAGAAATCACTCGTACTAGCACATTCACTCTTTTTCATGAAACAAAACAAAAATAGCACAGACATTGCCTCACAAAGGACACAAGGCTTCAGGAACATTGTTCAGTTGACAGGTAGTACAGTTGGAAATATTAACGTATCAGCCCATGGAAGAACATTTGATTGAGGGGACAAAAGGCACTTGAAGAGTCAATGTATAATTCATGAGACACAGTGGGTTTTATAATAGTGTAGGCCAGAGGTATACCGCTTGCTTCTAGAAGCAAGAGGAATATTTTATCGACGTGATTCAGAATTTCTGGGGAATGGAGATAATGAAGAGCAGAAAACGTTTCATTAGTTTTATTGCTTTAAAACTCCTACAAACAGTGCCTCCCCTTCCTCCTCATGTCAGTGCTGATGGCTCCACCGTCTCTTCACTGTCATTGTTGGTCTGGGTGATAAATGTCAAACTTCCATCATTATCCGAATATATTTTAGTTAGAAAACATCCAGTCGTCAATCCTGTTGATTTTAGGGAAAAAAATCCCTTTGATTTTATGAGGAGAACCTTCACTTTTTCTATACCAGAGAGAGGAAGAGAGAGACAAAGACTGAGAGAGCCACTTGTCTACAGCATTGACTTTCTGTGATGGTTTTCTCCATTGAGTCAGAAAAACTACTATTTTTAACTACTCAGCTTTATGAAGATGAAAGTTACTTCCTTTATTACATGGTCCATGACTTTTTCCCCTTCAGAACATTTAAAATACAATTGAATAGAATGGCACTTATAATTTTGTAAAAATTTTATCTAATTATAAAAGTAATACATACTGATTATAGAATTTTGGAAATATTCTGAAAAATTAAAGAAGAAAAAAAATCACCTACATACCAGTGTTATAAATTAGACCACGGACATGTTTTGGTGTATGTCCTCAGCCTTTAAAAAAACACATATAAACATACATACATATATTAATGTATGCCTTCATACCATGCAACCCTGTAACATTGGGATTATACTAAATAGGATGACATCATTTCTAAAATGGAAGTTATTTACTGGTTTCCTCATAGCAGATGTTGTCTCTAAGTACTGTCTGTTACTGAGAAAGACTTTTTAAGCTTTAAAATCCAGTAATACTAATTATAGGGAAGTGGAAATAAGATTTCAAAAGACAGTTTCCCTATCCTTATAGTTTCCAGCACTCCTGGTTTTACTGTTCTTGGTTATTTATATTAAATTCAGTTAGATACATAGGTAAAACTAAATCAAAAGTGGACTTAAGTGATTAGATAAACCAAAGGCATAATAAAATAAATATGGAAAATATTGAAAAAAAATAAAATTTAAATAAACAGTATTTAATTTACTAAGCAATGGCTTAGTAAATAGTGACTGTATAAAGTGAATGTATAAAAGCATAGTAATAGTGACTATCGCACATTCGTTGATTTATTTTTATTTTTTTTTTTTTAAGATTTTATTTATTTATTTGACAGAGAGAGAGATCACAAGTAGATGGAGAGGCAGGCAGAGAGAGAGAGAGGGAAGCAGGCTCCCCGCTGAGCAGAGAGCCCGATGCGGGACTTGATCCCAGGACCCTGAGATCATGACCTGAGCCGAAGGCAGCGGCTCAACCCACTGAGCCACCCAGGCGCCCCACATTCATTGATTTAAAAGTGTGCCAAGCACTTTTCATGTTATTTAGTTGAATCTGCACAACAACTGTGGAGCATTATTCTTTTACACCAATTTTACAGATGCAGGGATGCTAAGAGAAAAGGGAGGTCACATTCCCAGAGCAGCCAGCTCTGCCCTGCTCCAAAGCGCTTCAGCTCTTAGTGTCTATTATTTAATACACACACATTTGTTGGCAGGCTATCTGTGGCTGTTGTTCTGCTACGACGGTTGAGTTCCATTGTGGTGACAGGGGCTGTTTGGCCCACAAAGACCGAATATTTACTCTATGATCCTTTACAGAAGAAGTTTGCCAACCCCTGATCTACAGGATTAGGCCGATCCTTGGAACAACTTTCCAAGCACTGTGACCCTTAAGTCTCTCACCAATTCTTCACTCAAGATAAAGTACCTCAGTGTGCAGATTTGAATGCAACTAATTTTACTCATTTTTTTTCCTCCCCAGTGGAATTTTTGGGAATGTCAGGAATGGTTGCGTTAGTCACTGTAGGACTGAATTTAGACTCCTTAAGTTTTAAACCGAGGATTGAGTTAATAATTACTAAGTAAGTCTCCTATTGTGTACTTGGTATAGATATCATAGAAGTTTTGTGCTTAAGTGGTTCTGCCTTCCTGGATCCATAAGACACCCCTTTTGTAACGTTTTTCTGCCTCTTAATTCTGAATTTTATTACCGGTTATATTTGAAAGCACTTAAGGTACCAACAATTATTGACATTGATTGATATTCTTTTGTTACAAATTATGTAGGTGTGGCTCAGAGGCTGTGGTCTTTTTATACATAACTCTTGATAAAAATTTACTTTGGATCGTGAGAAATTTTAAAAATACCTCATTCCTTTGTTTCCTTCATGACATCTATGAATGGCAGCATCCTAATATGGGAAGAGCTGGAGAAGAAAAGTAGCAGAAAGATGCCACACCAGCCAAATTCTTTTTTTTTTTTTTTAAAGATTTTATTTATTTATTTGACAGACAGAGATCACAAGTAGGCAGAGCAGCAGGCAGAGAGAAAGGGGGAAGCAGGCTCCCCGCTGAGCAGAGAGCCCAATGTGGGGCTCAATCCCAGGACCCTGGGATCATGACCTGAGCCGAAGGCAGAGGCTTAACCCACTGAGCCACCCAGGCGCCCCCCTTTTTTTTTAAAAAAAGATTTTACACCAGCCAAATTCTTAGCTGCCCTCTACATTTGGTAATGCAGGGTGTCATGTGACTATCTCTGCGTGGAGGGAAAACCCCATTTGCCTATCTTCTCAGATAAATAAATTAGGCTCTGCAGAGAGCTGTACTAAATTATAGGATTGTTTCAGAATTACTTCATAAGTCCTAGCCCAGTATAGATCAAATGAAAGCAAATGCTAAAACAAGAAGCCATAATCCTGAATTTTCCCAGGAAGATTCATTTTTTTAAATGTAAATGACTATCCATGGTTCTGAAATTATGGTCTGTCTCCTTTTTGGGTGTTTAAAATGTTCTTTCTTTTATGAAATCCCAGTGATAGAAGATGGTATCTTCTTAAAAATAACTTCTCTTGGCAAAATTAAAAAATTGGCACCTGTCACTCTTCTAATGTTGTGTGTATGTGAATATGACACTTACCTGGTTTTTAGACTCCAGAAGCTTGGGGATAAACAGTTCATAGAACTTTTTGTCTGAATTTGGACAGTTTCCTGAGCTCAGTCATGCTGTATGTCAGCATCACTATATATTACTCATTGTATTCATTTAATTGTTTATCCTTGAACCTATTCAACCTATCCTTTCTTAATGTCTACTGTGATCTGGATGTTGTATCTCAGTTTGGGGCTACGTAAGTAAGTCCCCTTCTCAGAAGGCACTCATTATTAAGTGATTGGGCGTGTTTATATAAGAAACCAGTAAGTATGAATCATTATAGAATTATTGGGATCCTGCTATATGTATGGATTTTCTTTTTAGGTCCTGTGGAGACATTTGAAAAAGTATTCTCAGTTATTCCATCATTTCTGAATTTCAGAAAACTAAGCATTGGGGGCTGGGGGGACCTCAAACCCTTCCTTTCTCTGAGTTCTGAATCTAATGAAGCAGGAGATGGGAATCAGAGAATCAGACCATCTACTTGATAGGTGTAATGCTCTGTCACAGAATATGGTTTTCCTCCGAAGCCAAAATGAGGCTTCCTCATGCTGCTTTCCAAATGTAGATCTTGGGACCCACCTGTGAGGAGGCTGGTTTGTGGAACAGGCACACTCACCTAGTTAGCTGAAAGGGAAAGTTCCAGTGGAGGGGCCCAAGAGGAGGCAATCTGCTTATAGAAGTCAAACCTGGACTGGGTGCAAGCATATTACCACATGGTACCACAACAGCTCTAAGCCCGAACCACTGTGTTCTGTCTACTCAGTAAGACTCTGGGGACAGGCCAGGTGTATAGCTATATGGAAAGCAATACGGGTGATTCTAATTCACTTGTCTGCTTAACAAACCATGGTGGTATAGACAATTGGCACTGTAGGGGTTTAAAGGAGGGTCACTTCCAATGAGAGTGCTTGGGACAGTTTTATGAAGAACATGGGATTAGAGTTAGCCTTATGAGAGTTTTAGGAATTCAGTAGATGGGAAAGCAGACAGGAGAGATTTTCAAGGTGAGGGACTTTCAAGCAAATCATGAAGGAAGAAATCCTGCAGAGGACAGTGAGGTGATCCAGTCAGCTGTTGAGAAGTCAAGGTTAAGTAGGTGGTTCTGGGGTTACCTGTGGCAGACCCAACAGTTTGATATGATGCCAGCTAATCTCAGCAAAACTGTCACATCACCGATCAGGGAAGATGTGGAGAGCTTTATTTTTCTGCCTTGCTCTTACTGTTCTCCTATGAGAGGCAGCCCATGGGCATGGTGTGATGAAGAGTATTGGAGAATATGGAGCCGGGTGGATTTTAGTTCCAACAAAATACTTTTAAATGTTGATTGCAACAGTGCTGGAGGCAAGGACCTCTGCTAAGACAAGAATGATAGATATGTGATACATACTTTTATGCGAAAAGGCAACTATTAAAAAACCCATTGCTTAAAATGTGATTTATTTTCCATTCATCCAAGGTTCCTAATAATGTTTTCAGCTGTATTCCAACAATTATTATATACTTTCTTTGGTATTGTAATCGGATGTGGAGAAACCAAGTATTTAAAATTTCACACTGTGGTTTTCTTGTTCATCTTATTTGCAACAGTAAATTTTGTAAGGTAAGAATTATATTTTAAAGTTTGCTTCCTCGAGCCCAGAATTAGCACTGGGAGGTAGTGAGTGATAGCAAGAAGAGTTCTGGATGTGATGTCAGAAAACCTGTGTTGTTGTCAAGGTCCTGACAATAGCTTGCTGTGCGACTGGGAGAAGTCTCTTCACGCTTCATAGTTACATCTAGAAAAGGAGAAGGGGCAAGAATAGCAGCAGGAGCATCATGACCCATGAGCTTGATAGAAATGCTCACTCATGGGCCCATCCCATTGTATTGAATTGCATCTCTAGAGATGAGATCCAGGAAACTGTTTCAACATGTTTGTTAATGTTTGTGCAACACTGGAGTGAATTAATGGCTCTTAACATTTTTGTTGACTTTCATCCTTATTTCTATGATAAAGCCATTTATTAAGCACTTACCATGTACATTATACTATTAATACTAATACAATCTTATGAAGTAGGTGTTATTGCATCATTTCACAGATGAAGCCCAGAAAGGTTAAAAACTTGCTTAGAGTTACCCAATTTGAAGGGCAGAATTGGGGTTTATTTATTATTTTTTAAAAGATTTTATTTATTTATTTGAGAGAGAGAGAGGAGCAGTCTCCCCAGTGAGCAGGGAGCCTGATTCAGGGCTTGATCCCAGGACTCTGGGATCATGTCCTGAGCCAAAGGCAAACACTTAACCAACTGAGCCACCCAGGTGCCCCCAAAATTGGGATTTATTTTTTATTTTTTTTATTTTTTAAATTTTTTTTATTATTTTTTAATTTTTTTATGAACACATAATGTATTATTAGCCCCAGGGGTACAGGTCTGTGAATCGCCAGGTTTACACACTTCACAGCATTCACCATAGCATATACCCTTCCCAATGTCCATAACCCCACCACCCTCTCCCTACCGCCCTCCCCCTGGCAACCCTCAGTTTGTTTTGTGAGATTAAGAGTCTCTTATGGTTTGTCTCCCTCCTGATCTCATCTTGTTTCATTTATTCTTTTCCTACCTCCCCCCCAACCCCCCATGTTGCATCTCCACTTCCTCATATCAGGGAGACAATATGATAGTTGTCTTTATCATATTGACTTATTTCATTAAGCGTAATACCCTCTAGTTCCATCCACGTCATTGCAAATGGCAAGATTTCATTTCTTTTGATGGCTGCATAGTATTCCATGAAATTGGGATTTAAATCTGAGCCCATGAACATGTTTTCTTTTAAATTCCATTGCCCACTCATGGTAGTTGTGTCTTTGATAAGAATTCATTACAGTGTCATTTCCACTGAGGATAGACCTGGCCAAGGGAACTTCCTTTAAAAATTTTTTTTTTTTTTAGGGGCGCTTGGGTGGCTCAGTGGGTTAAGCCGCTGCCTTCGGCTCAGGTCATGATCTCAGGGTCCTGGGATCGAGTCCCGCATCAGGCTCTCTGTTCAGCAGGGAGCCTGCTTCCCTCTCACTCTCTCTACCTGCCTCTCTGCCTACTTGTGATCTCTCTCTGTCAAATAAAT